TCTATAGTCCAGACTATAGACTATTCTATAGTCCAGACTACAGACTATTCTATAGTCCAGACTATAGACTATTCTATTGTCCAGACTATAGACTATTCTATAGTCCAGACTATAGACTATTCTATAGTCCAGACTATAGACTATTCTATAGTCCAGACTATAGACTATTTTATAGTCCAGACTATAGACTATTCTATAGTCCAGACTATTCTATAGTCCAGACTATTCTATAGTCCAGACTATAGACTATTCTATAGTCCAGACTATAGACTATTCTATAGTCCAGACTATAGACTATTCTATAGTCCAGACTATAGACTATTCTATAGTCCAGACTATAGACTATTCTATAGTCCAGACTATAGACTATTCTATAGTCCAGACTATAGACTATTCTATAGTCCAGACTATAGACTATTCTATAGTCCAGACTATAGACTATTCTATAGTCCAGACTATAGACTATTCTATAGTCCAGACTATAGACTATTCTATAGTCCAGACTTTATACTATTTTATCGTCCAAACTATAGACTATCTATATATTGCAGACTTTAGACTATTCTATAGTTCAGATTTTAGACTACTCTATAGTCCAGATTATAGACTGTTCTATACTACAGACTAGACTATAGTCCAGACTATAGACTATTCAATAGTCCATACTATAGACTATTATATAGTCCGAAATGTAGACTATTCTAAGACCAGACTATAGACCAGTCTATGGACCATGCTATAGACTATTCTATAGACCAGACTATAGACTATTCTATAGGCCAGACTATAGACTATTCTATAGTCCAGACTATAGACTATTCTATAGTCCAGACTATAGACTATTCTATAGTCCAGACTATAGACTATTCTATAGTCCAGACTATAGACTATTCTATAGTCCAGACTATAGACTATTCTATAGTCCAGTCTATAGACTATTCTATAGTCCAGACTATAGACTATTCTATAGTCCAGATTATAGACTATTCTATAGTCCAGACTATAGGCTATTCTATAGTCCAGACTAGAGACTATTCTATAGTCCAGACTATAGACTATTCTATAGTCCAGACAATAGACTATCTATAGTCCAGACTTTAGACTATTCTATAGTTCAGATTTTAGACTATTCTATAGTCCATATACTATTCTATACTATAGACTCTGCTGTAGTCCAGACTATAGTCTATTTAATAGTCCAGACTATAAACTATTCTATAGTCCGGAATATAGACTATTCTATAGACCAGACTATAGACTGTTCTATAGACCAGACTATAGACTATTCTATAGACCAGACTAGAGACTATTCTGTAGACCAGACTATATAGTCCAGACTATAAACTATTCTATAGTCCGGAATATAGACTATTCTATAGACCAGACTATAGACTATTCTATAGACCAGACTATAGACTGTTCTATAGACCAGACTATAGACTATTCTATAGACCAGACTAGAGACTATTCTGTAGACCAGACTAGAGACTATTCTATAGACCAGACTAGAGACTATTCTATAGTCCAGACTATAGACTATTCTATAGTCCAGACTATAGACTATTCTATAGTCCAGACTATAGACTATTCTATAGTCCAGACTATAGACTATTCTATAGTCCAGACTATAGACTATTCTATAGTCCAGACTATAGACTATTCTATAGTCCAGACTATAGACTATTCTATAGTCCAGACTATAGACTATTCTATAGTCCAGACTATAGACTATTCTATAGTTCAGACTATTGACTATTCTATAGTCCAGACTATAGGCTATTCTATAGTCCAGACTATAGACTATTCTATAGTCCAGACTAGACTATTCTATAGTCCAGACTATAGACTATTCTAAAGTTCAGACTATAGCATCTACTATAGTCCAGACTATAGACTATTCTATAGTCCAGACTATTGACTATTCTATAGTCCAGACTATAGACTATTCTATAGTCCAGACTATAGACTATTCTATAGTCCAGACTATAGACTATTCTAAAGTTCAGACTATAGCATCTACTATAGTCCAGACTAAAGACTATTCTATAGTCCAGACTATAGATTTTACTATATATAGCCTGCCTGGTAACTCTATAAACCGTTTTGTTGTTAATCCAACTTCCACAACCCTCTACACGCTCACACACACACACACACTCAGTATTACAAAATACACCGTTAAACTAATGAAAGAAGAAGCAAAAATCAAAACAAAAAATCATGAAACACTCGTCGCGTGATAATGCTTTTTATTTCTAATAGTTCTTCTACCACCAAGAACCACAAAAAATACCTGCTGGATAATTTTTTTCCGATTTGCACAGTATGTGTCTAAAGAAAAAAAAATAAAACTGTTTCAAATCATGTTTGAATAGTTTTTCAATATTTTATTGTTTGGTTTAAAATAAGTGTACGCGCAACCCTAAATAATAGTATTTTTCCAATATGAATTATTTTGTTTATACAATTCCAATTTAAATACATAATAATTCTAATAAGTGTGTAATTAAAAAAAAAGAAAGAAATTGGGTGGTTTTTTGTTATTGTTTACTTTAACCTAAAAATAAAAAAGAGGTGAAAGAAAAATTATTTTCAACACACACACAAACATTCAAATTTTGAGTACGTGAAGAGTGAAAATTTGGAGAATGTAGAAGAAATGAAAAAAAAAAAATGTAGAAACAGTTTAAATTAAACAAAAATAATTATTTAAGTTGTTTGTATAAACAAATAAAATAGGGAAGAAATAATAAATATTAATTTTGAGAAAAAGTGCCCAAAAACTTTAAATTATGTTAAAATTTGAATTTTCTTCAAAAAAGTTCAGTTCTAGTTCAGTTCTAGTTCAGTTCTAGTTCAGTTCTAGTTCAGTTCTAGTTCAGTTCTAGTTCAGTTCTAGTTCAGTTCTAGTTCTGTTCTAGTTCTGTTCTAGTTCTGTTCTAGTTCTGTTCTAGTTCTGTTCTAGTTCTGTTCTAGTTCTGTTCTAATTCAGTTCTAGTTCACTTCTAGTTCAGTTCAAGTTCTGTTCTAGTTTAGTTTTAGTTCAGTTCTAGTTTAGTTCAAGTTCTGTTCTAGTTTAGTTCTAGTTCAGTTCTAGTTTAGTTTTAGTTCAGTTCTAGTTCAAGTTCAGTTCTAGTTCAGTTCTAGTTCAGTTCTAGTTCAGTTCTAGTTCAGTTCTAGTTCAGTTCTAGTTCAGTTCTAGTTCAGTTCTAGTTCAGTTCTAGTTCAGTTCTAGTTCAGTTCTAGTTCAGTTCTAGTTCAGTTCTAGTTCAGTTCTAGTTCAGTTCTAGTTCAGTTCTAGTTCAGTTCTAGTTCAGTTCTAGTTCAGTTCTAGTTCAGTTCTAGTTCAGTTCTAGTTCAGTTCTAGTTCAGTTCTAGTTCAGTTCTAGTTCAGTTCTAGTTCAGTTCTAGTTCAGTTCTAGTTCAGTTCTAGTTCAGTTCTAGTTCAGTTCTAGTTCAGTTCTAGTTCAGTTCTAGTTCAGTTCTAGTTCAGTTCTAGTTCAGTTCTAGTTCAGTTCTAGTTCAGTTCTAGTTCAGTTCTAGTTCAGTTCTAGTTCAGTTCTAGTTCAGTTCTAGTTCAGTTCTAGTTCAGTTCTAGTTCAGTTCTAGTTCAGTTCTAGTTCAGTAGTTCAGTTCTAGTTCAGTACTAGTTCAGTTCTAGTTCAGTTCTAGTTTAGTTCTAGTTCAGTTCTAGTTCAGTTCTAGTTCAGTTCTAGTTCAGTTCTAGTCCAGTTCTAGTTCAGTTCTAGTTCAGTTCTAGTTCAGTTCTAGTTCAGTTCTAGTTCAGTTCTAGTTCAGTTCTAGTTCAGTTCTAGTTCAGTTCTAGTTCAGTTCTAGTTCAGTTCTAGTTCAGTTCTAGTTCAGTTCTAGTTCAGTTCTAGTTCAGTTCTAGTTCAGTTCTAGTTCAGTTCTATTTCAGTTCTAGTTCAGTTCTAGTTCAGTTCTAGTTCAGTTCTAGTTCAGTTCTAGTTCAGTTCTAGTTCAGTTCTAGTTCTAGTTCAGTTATAGTTCAGTTCTAGTTCAGTTCTAGTTCAGTTCTAGTTCAGTTCTAGTTCAGTTCTAGTTCAGTTCTAGTTCAGTTCTAGTTTAGTTCTAGTTCAGTTCTAGTTCAGTTCTAGTTCAGTTCAGTTCTAGTTCAGTTCAGTTCTAGTTCTGTTCTTGTTCTGTTCTTGTTCTGTTCTAGTTCTGTTCTAGTTCTGTTCTAGTTCTGTTCTAGTTCTGTTCTAGTTCTGTTCTAGTTCTGTTCTAGTTCTGTTCTAGTTCTGTTCTAGTTCTGTTCGAGTTCTGTTCTAGTTCAGTTCTAGTTCTGTTCTAGTTCAGTTCTAGTTCAGTTCTAGTTCAGTTCTAGTTCAGTTATAGTTCTAGTTCAGTTATAGTTCAGTTCTAGTTCAGTTCTAGTTCAGTTCTAGTTCAGTTCTAGTTCAGTTCTAGTTTAGTTCTAGTTCAGTTCTAGTTCAGTTCTAGTTCAGTTCTAGTTCAGTTCAGTTCAGTTCAGTTCTAGTTCTGTTCTAGTTCTGTTCTTGTTCTGTTCTAGTTCTGTTCTAGTTCTGTTCTAGTTCTGTTCTAGTTCTGTTCTAGTTCTGTTCTAGTTCTGTTCTAGTTCTGTTCTAGTTCTGTTCTAGTTCTGTTCTAGTTCTGTTCTAGTTCTGTTCTAGTTCTGTTCTAGTTCTGTTCTAGTTCTGTTCTAGTTCTGTTCTAGTTCAGTTCTAGTTCTGTTCTAGTTCTGTTCTAGTTCTGTTCTAGTTCTGTTCTAGTTCTGTTCTAGTTCTGTTCTAGTTCAGATTTAAGATATGATTATAGACTAGACTACAAACTAGACTATATACTAGATTTAAGTATAGACTAGACTATAGACTGAACCATAGATTAACCTATAATATAGGCTATAGGCTATACTTTTGTCCAAGCTGTGTTCATAAATGAAAATTGAGAAAATTTATCTTTTTATCCAAAAACATTTTTTAACAAAATTTTCTTTTTTTTCTTTTCTTCCTTAACAGCTAAAACGGTTTATAATAATCTCTTTAAAACCTTAAACACAAAGCGGCATTTGAACAAAAAACAAACGATTAAACAACAATTTAAAAATATCATAAAAACAAAAACAACTTTAAAACGGAAGTGTTTAAAAAAATACATAAAAACTCTTCAAAAAATCTAACAAAAATAGAAAAAAAAACCGAAATAAATTTTAACAAAATTCAACAGAATTAATATAAAAAAACACACAAACAACAATAATAAATAAAAAATTTCTTGCTACAACAAATAAGAAAAAAAATTACTAAAGAAAATTCAAAAAAACCAACGGAAATTGAATCTTAATTAGACAAAATAAAATATTTTAAACAACTTTAAGCTTAACGTTTTAACACTTACCCCCCCACAAAAAAGTGTTTAAACGTTTAAAACTCTAATAAAACCAAAAAAAAAAACTAATAACTCTAACGCCTAACGCGCTTATTATTTCGATTTTTAAATCGAAATAAACGTAAATTTTCGTTCGTACGCGTTTTAACGTAAACCGCCAAAATAATTCACCAACAAACTCTCGCCGAAATTAATTTCGCAACGGCGACCACAATGCCATACAACGGGGCAACTAATGGTAGTAGCGGTGGTGGTGGCGGCGGCTTAATAGTCAGTGATGGGCCGCAGAATAAAAAGATACGCACCGGGGTGCAGCAGTCGGGCGAAGGAGATGCTCATATGCATGCTAGGGTAAGTACAAATGGCCGAAGTCGTTAAGTAGTAAATCAAATTTAAGCGCTTTTTTTATTTGTTGGTATATTTCTCTCTAATGACAGTTTGATTTTATTTACTTCTCTTGACATTCGCTTTTTGAGGGCAAACACACATACACACACGTACTGAATGAGTATTTATGTGAGTGTGTTTGAAAATATATTTTTGTTGTCTGTCTATCTGTTGTATGTTCTCTGGTTTTTCCTTTTTTTTTTTGTTAAGCACAGGGTTGTTGGGAAAAATCGATTTTCTTCAAAAAACAAAATAAAAAAATAATGCTCTCTATCATTTCGAAAATTGAGCATAAAGTAAATGTCTTAATGAGCAAACAATAACAAAGTTTACAAATCCATTAACTCGGCATATTTCCAAAGGAGGAAGAGTAATTAAATCAAGGGCTTTAATATAAAAGACAAAAAGTACTACAGACCAAATTATTCTATAAACTGTTCTATAGTCCAGACTATATTCTATAAACTGTTCTATAGTCCAGACTATAGACTGTTCTATAGTCCAGACTATAGACTGTTCTATAGTCCAGACTATAGACTGTTCTATAGTCCAGACTATAGACTGTTCTATAGTCCAGACTATAGACTGTTCTATAGTCCAGACTATAGACTGTTCTATAGTCCAGACTATAGACTGTTCTATAGTCCAGACTATATACTGTTCTATAGTCCAGACTGTAGACTGTTCTATAGTCTAGACTATAGACTGTTTTATATTCCAGACTTTAGACTGTTCTATAGTCCAGACTGTTCTATTTAGTCCAGAGTATAGACTGTTCTATAGTCCAGACTATAGACTGTTCTATAGTCCAGACTATAGACTGTTCTATAGTCCAGACTATAGACTGTTCTATAGTCCAGACTATAGACTATTCTATAGTCCAGACTATAGACTATTCTATAGTCCAGACTATAGACTATTCTATAGTCCAGACTATAGACTATGCTATAGTCCAGACTATAGACTATGCTATAGTCCAGACTATAGACTATTCTATAGTCCAGACTATAGACTATGCTATAGTCCAGACTATAGACTATTCTATAGTCCAGACTATAGACTATTTTATAGTCCAGACTATAGACTATTTTATAGTCCACACTATAGACTGTTGTATAGTCCACACTATAGACTGTTGTATAGTCCAGACTATAGACTGTTCTATAGTCCAGACTATAGACTGTTCTATAGTCCAGACTATAGACTGTTGTATAGTCCAGATTATAGACTGTTCTATAGTCCAGACTATAGACTGTTCTATAGTCCAGACTATAGACTGTTCTATAGTCCAGACTATAGACTGTTCTATAGTCCAGACTATAGACTGTTGTATAGTCCAGATTATAGACTGTTCTATAGTCCAGACTATAGACTGTTCTATAGTCCAGACTATAGACTGTTCTATAGTCCAGACTATAGAATGTTCTATAGTCCAGACTATAGACTGTTCTATAGTCCAGACTATAGACTGTTCTATAGTCCAGACTATAGACTGTTGTATAGTCCAGACTATAGACTGTTGTATAGTCCAGACTATAGACTGTTCTATAGTCCAGACTATAGACTGTTCTATAGTCCAGACTATAGACTGTTCTATAGTCCAGACTATAGACTGTTTTATAGTCCAGACTATAGACTGTTCTATAGTCCAGACTATAGACTGTTCTATAGTCCAGACTATAGACTGTTCTATAGTCCAGACTATAGACTGTTCTATAGTCCAGACTAAAGACTGTTCTATAGTCCAGACTATAGACTGTTCTATAGTCCAGACTATAGACTGTTCTATAGTCCAGACTATAGACTGTTCTATAGTCCAGACTATAGACTGTTCTATAGTCCAGACTAAAGACTGTTCTATAGTCCAGACTATAGACTGTTCTATAGTCCAGACTATAGACTGTTCTATAGTCCAGACTATAGACTGTTCTATAGTCCAGACTATAGACTGTTCTATAGTCCAGACTATAGACTGTTCTATAGTCCAGACTGTAGACTGTTCTATAGTCCAGACTATAGACTGTTCTATAGTCCAGACTATAGACTGTTCTATAGTCCAGACTATAGACTGTTCTATAGTCCAGACTATAGACTGTTCTATAGTCCAGACTATAGACTGTTCTATAGTCCAGACTATAGACTGTTCTATAGTCCAGACTATAGACTGTTCTATAGTCCAGACTATAGACTGTTCTATAGTCCAGACTATAGACTGTTCTATAGTCCAGACTATAGACTGTTCTATAGTCCAGACTATAGACTGTTCTATAGTCCAGACTATAGACTGTTCTATAGTCCAGACTATAGACTGTTCTATAGTCCAGACTATAGACTGTTCTATAGTCCAGACTATAGACTGTTCTATAGTCCAGACTATAGACTGTTCTATAGTCCAGACTATAGACTGTTCTATAGTCCAGACTATAGACTGTTCTATAGTCCAGACTATAGACTGTTCTATAGTCCAGACTATAGACTGTTCTATAGTCCAGACTATAGACTGTTCTATAGTCCAGACTATAGACTGTTCTATAGTCCAGACTATAGACTGTTCTATAGTCCAGACTATAGACTGTTCTATAGTCCAGACTATAGACTGTTCTATAGTCCAGACTATAGACTGTTCTATAGTCCAGACTATAGACTGTTCTATAGTCCAGACTATAGACTGTTCTATAGTCCAGACTATAGACTGTTCTATAGTCCAGACTATAGACTGTTCTATGGTGCAGACTATAGACTGTTCTATAGTGCAGACTATAGACTATTCTATAGTCCAGACTATAGACTGTTCTATAGTCCAGACTATAGACTGTTCTATGGTGCGAACTATAGACTGTTCTATAGTCCAAACTATAGACTGTTCTATAGTCTATACTATAGACTCTTCCACAGACCATACTATGGAATCTGCTATGGCTTTTCTATAGTCCGGACAATAGTATAGACTATTATTAGTCGGTTTTCGGCGATGTTTCATAGCATTTTCCATAATTTTTAAGAACAGTTCCCACTTTTTCGTAAACTCTTCCCACCCCCAATATGGGTAGCAAATGAAAGGTTTTTTGATTATATATACCAAACAAACATTCTTCTTTAGTTTTGCAATAATTTGTTTAACAAAAATTCTACTTTTCAATTTAGAAATTAAAATTTTATTGAAAAACTTGTATTTGCTTTTGAAAACTGTTACCGCTAACCAAACAAGCAAATACCTTTTATATCTTTAGCTAATCTGTAGTTGGTATAACATTTTAACAACTATTTTTATATGTTTGTTTTGTATGCTTTATATTTTTCCTGTAGCACAAAAATTAGCTCGTTAAATACTGCTTTAATGACACCAGAAGTAGCTGGCATAAAAATGAAAACAAAATAATATGCAAAAGATTGTTTCTTTTTTTGTTGCTGCTGCTGTTATTGTAGAACGTGCTCTTTGACTTAAATGTCATTTAAAATTAAATGCGAAAAAAGAAAATAAATAAAAATAAACTCACACACACACATGTTAAGCTTTAAACAGAAGCCTTTAAAAAATAACTGTGTTAAACTGCAAGTGTGTGATGTTGTTTTTGCTTTTCTATTTCTTTCTTTTTCCACTTTTTGCAACGTTTAAGTCATGAGCCCCCACTCATGTGTTGTATATAGTGGCTGACTGCCTGGCTGAGAGCTTTAGCAGCAGTGAGTTTAAGAGTGTTTGTGTCAGTTGTGTCTTGTGTTGTCTTCTGACTGTTGCATACTTACAGGCGTTTGCCTGTTTGTTGCTGTTAATATTTTTTTAACATTTTAAATGTTTGTGTTGAAATAAAAAAAAAAAATAAAAAACGTTCTACATAAGCTTTTTAATAAAGTAAATCAAGTTGATGTTAAGGCAGGAGAGATAGAGAAAGGGGGTTAAATTACAAAAGACTTAAAACAGAATAGAGAAAAATTACAAGACAATAAAGTAAGAGGCACAGCCAAACACACTTGTTTTATTAGCTAAAACAACGAAAATTTAAAAAATTATAAAAATAGGTAGTAAAGTATCTTGACAAGTAGTTTTTTAAAAAGTACTTTTTTAAAAAAGTACAATTTTTATAAGAAAAAAATCATTAAATGATGTTGTAATCTATTGATCCTTATTTATTTTGACTAAATCTAGCTGGCGAAGTCATTTTCTGTGATTTTTAAAAACTGTTCCCACTTTTTCGAAAACTGTTCCCACCCCCAATATGGGTTTCAAATGAAAGGTCTTTCAATTTTATATACCAAACAAACATTCTTTTTAAATTTCATAACAATTCGTTTAATAAAATTTCAATTTTTTCATTAAGAAGCCTAAAAAATTTTGAAAATTCAGTTGTTTTTCTAGTTTTTCAATCAAAAGTCTGTTTAAAATGGTTGTTATGTGTTAAAACCTGTCTATTTTTACTAAATCTAGCATGAGAAGTCGTTTTCTGTGATTTTTAAAAACTGTTCCCACTTTTTCCTAAACTCTTCCCACCCCCCAATATGGGTTTCAAATGAAAGGTCTTTCGATTTTATATACCAAACAAACATTATTTTTAAATTTCATAACAAGCCGTTTAACAAAATAGCTATTTTTTCATTTGAAAGCTCAAAAATGTTTGAAATTTAGCAAAACTTTTAAATTTTTCAATAAAAGTCCTTTCAAAATTGTTGTACATTATTAGAATTCATTAAATTTTCCAAAATTTCGTTTGAAAATGCATTTTCTGTGATTTTTAAAAACTGTTCCCACTTTTTCGAAAACTCTTCCCACCCCCAATATGGGTTTCAAATGAAAGGTCTTTCGATTTTATATAACAAATAAACATTCTTTTTAAATTTCATAACAATTCGTTTAACAAAATTGCAATTTTTTCATTAAAAAGTCAAGATTCCTTGAAATTCAGCAAAATTAAAAATTTTTCAGTAAAAAGTCCTTTCAAAATTGTTGTACATTATTAGAATTCATTAAA